CCGAAAATACTCATTATATTTCCGATTTCGTGATGAAATTTTAACGTAAAAAATGAATGTGCATCAAAACATTTCCCATTACTTTATCCATTTCCGTTTTGGATAAATTCTTGCAAAACATTTTACTGGTAGAAACAGTTGCATTATTCATCCTTCCACAATCCTGCAACAAGTTTTTGAACAATACTTTCTTATAGATTGGGAGAAGTAAGAAGACAAAGGACAAAAAAATTTTTGAAAAAGCTTTTTTACATGAGAATTCAGCTTTTATTCTACTAATGTCATTTTAATCATTCAATATAGTTTTCCGAGACAGATATTAATGAAAAAAAATTATAAATGACGGTACGCAGGTCATATATGTGAAGTAAAGATCAGTTTGTAATACAATTTCGTTTCGCTGCATTAGTAAAAAAAATAAAAATTTTCAAGCAGTAAATTTCTATATTTCAAATGAATATGCTTTGTCAAATTTGAAAACCAACATACCCGCAACTCTATCATTTCGCTTGAAGCATCCTCCTTCGGTGTGGAAGATGAAGACACATCAAAAGGCAAAACCCGCTATAAAAAGATAGCATTGTTCTGAGGCCTGATTCAACTCTTCTACTTTGTTATCAAAAACATATTCAGAATTATGCTGAATAATCGAGAAATTGATTTTAGAAAATTTTTTGAATATGCACCAAAAAATAAACTTTCATGATATGTATTTCTTTTCCAGTGCATCATTTTTAATTTATGTCCCGTATGCTATACAAATACTGGAATGAAACCTTGGTTTGCGTTTTTTCTGACAACTGCTTTTGATGACCCACCGAATTTTTTTCTTCCACTACAGAGATGTGGGAGCCCGAAGCATTCCTGTAAGAAAAATAACTGACACTGAAACATTTGAAAATCCGAACATACATTAACTCCAGGTTGAGTAAAAAACCAACAAACTACAGCTTACTGACTCATAGAAAATTGACCTTCCATTAATTAGTTCAACTTGCGACTTCAAATTATGATAATCAGAATTGTCTAATATTCCCTCATTCATTTCATTTACCATCTGCAATTATAAAAGCGAAAAATAATTACACAATATTAAGTACGTTTTCCACAAGAAATTTCGTAGCAACAAAATGCAAATATTTTGCCCGACACAGTTCAACATAAATATTAATTGTCGCACGAGTATACAACGAAAGAATATTACAGAATATTAGAAGTGAATGTAATAAACTTGAGTAATTTGGGATTTTAAATTCAAATATATTTTCATATACAAGTGACAGCTTACGTGCGAGCAAATGGTTTTATTTATGTTAAGCTCGTATCCATTCCAAGACCATTTTTCAGTGCATGATTCCTAGAAACAAAGCAAAGTATAAGGAACTCAATCTTATATTCTTACAATAATGCGATGCAATTAAGATAAGAAAATAGTTCTCAGAAATAATTAGATTATTTTGAGACTACAATTTGTGACAACCATACTAGGAAATTTTTCGAGTTCATTTGCGATAAAACTCTCTAAAGATAAATGAAGAACTTCATTTTCAAATCCAATAAGAATGAAAAAAAAACTTTATTCTTGTCAGTTCCGAGTCCTACAGTTTGATAATCAGCAATCTCGTCATCATCATCTGATATTATAATAGTCTCAAAGTAAGTGTCATCTCTAAAAAATTACTCAGTAAGCACATTTTCTACAATCTCGAAATTAGAGGTCATAAATGAAATAACTGAGAATTCAGAAAACAATATTTTAAATTACGAGCAAAAACAATTAGATTGAAATGAATTTACAATTGACAAAACTTACTTTTTTTCAGCCGTTATATTTTTGTAACTCGATTCATGTACATACAACTCATCGTCATGTGCATCCAACCCATCGTCAAGTTTATCCAACCCATCGCCTTCATTATTATTCATCTAAAATTTCAAATAAAACAAAGCCATTATCTGACACATAGAGTACCTCCAGAAACTTATGCCAAGGCAACTAAATTTTTAAACGACGTTAAAATATTAATAGTGAAAGATCTCCAGTTCCACATAATCATGAATTATTGAATGATAGTAACATGACTAGTAAAATTATTTCAAATTGCAAACATCTGAATTTCATACAAAAAAATGATATAAAATACATATAATAATTGAATTCTAACAAACTAATAAGGAAATTTAAGATGTAAAATGAAATGTCAAAAAATATTTCGAATCAGAAAGTGTTACGGAAAACGTTGATAATTGCGTACTGTATGTTTTTGATAGAAAAACACACAAACAAAAAACAGTGAAATAAGAAAAACAGCACGTAGAAGATTTTGTTTAATTTTGATGCAAAAACACAAATTTCAGAAAACGCGAAAGAAATAACAAACTTCAATCGAAGGGTCTTTCACCACAACTTCAATCTTTTCCTTTGGCACTAAAAAATATCCCATTACACAACTTTCAAAAAACGAGGATGTAAAAAGTAAAAACTGGAAACACAAAATGGCAATGCATCGAGAGAATATTCATTAGAAATTAATTAATTTTCCACCATACCAAGCAACTGAAAAACATTGAAAGACGCAGATGGCTTCATCCGATTTTTTCGAATTGTCCGCGAGACACGATGCGTTTCTGTCACACTAATAGAAAAAGAATTATTAATCGTATTTTTTGAATTCCTGATCTTACCCATTTCCCTACCATAAATATATCCACTAGTTTGCTGCAGTTTACATCTTTTTTTTAATTTCAAAGACCGATCATTTCAATACACTATTTTCTTAGTACACAACATATTTAAATTAATTGTAATTTGAATGTACTAAATAATCACATAAAGAGTACTATAATTACAACTGGGTAGAATTATTGAAGAGCAGTAATATTCGATGCATTTATAAGAAGACGTAAAACTTTGTAGAAAATTTGTAAACTGCAGACCAGCAGATATTTCACAGACCAAGCCCATGATCTGAGAAGCAAAAATGTAATTAGTATTTAATTTTTAGTTCATGAACTTGTGCAAAAATTCAAATACAATACAGTGCAAAATTTTCACTAAATTTTACTGATTTATGACTTATTCTACTGTGTCTTTGTATCTGAGCGTTTTATTGCGTATTTGTGCACTGTACTGTATTTTTTTTGTCGTTGTTACTCAAGTATTTAAATACAGAGAGCTACCATTAATAAATCCCTTGAAAATGTTTATTAGCTATTGTTGAATTAAAATTACACATTACAAGAGTAGATAAGCAATTTAACGATGCTATATATTCAAATTACTTTCTACGAATACTGACGACCTCACCATTTACACTGTAGATCTAAAACAGAGTAAGTAAAAAAATCAGAGCGCAAATGATGAAAATAACTATTCTTCGATTAAAATTAATATAGATTAGAATATCTCTATAAAAATTACTTTTTCAAGTTTCGCTGAGACGATTTCGTTCCAATTTTTCTTACTAACCTTTCATTTACGCTATTCCTTTTATCCATTCAAAAAGCCTGAAATTGATTTAATTTCATATCATTTTGAAATTTTAAAAGCCAAAAGGTTAAAGATCTTATACGAAAAGCA